CATGTCTATGAATATGCATGCATCACCTGCTCTAAGCAGTCTGCTAGTTTTCCATGTTATGTGTGCCATGTTGTAGCATCTTCCATATTTTTACAACAAACAAAGGAAACCATCCATTTGATGTTCATTAAAGTTAGAGCTGTAATTATGTTCTGACAGAAAAAGAATTAAAAGCTCTTTAAGGAGCTGTCCATTTTTGTCATAATTTAGACTTATATTTACAAACAAAAAATTCATAACTCTTTGTCCCCCCCTAATAGTGAATATTATTTCTGAAGGCTAAGCAACAAAATGAGTTAAGAAACCTTATATTTCTTTCCAAAAATTCAACTTCAAAATGATGAATTATATCATTAAAGCCAGTTCTCAATTCTGTGTCTACATGGGTACTTGGTGTTACTCTCTCCACATGGGTTTGGTCAAATTGACCGACCTTGTAACCACTTTTGTACTCGTTATAGTTTGTTTTCATAGTATAACTTTTAATAAACATTTATTTATCCTAAATAGTTTTAAATTCAAAACAGTATACACTTAAATTTTATTGTTTTATTGCCCTTTGAACCCTGTCTAATTACTATTCATGTTATTAGTTGTAAATCACTCGGCAAATGCGTTCAGCTCCTGTTACGTTATTGAATTACATTATGCACTAGCTACTCACAAGCACGTTGTGAAAAAAGTTTATTATATTACTATTATTAGTTTTTTCACCTAATTTACCTTAACTAACATAAAAAGTTTCCTATTTTAATATTTTAGTTACTTTTATAATAATAAATAAAGAATACACTTGAAAAATATGAAAAAAAGTACTTACCTGGGTCTTCATTTTTTTGCTGTTGACTGTCAATGACATTTAACCCTACTTTTTATATGAATGGTAGTAGTGCATTATATAATTTTTTATTTAGTTAAATAATGCACCAAAGAACACAGAATAATATTTTGCTAGAAACAGACAATGTCCCATAACTATAACAATTTTATTTGGCTTTCTAACTATGCAACAAGAGCTATTAGGAATTCAACTAAGCTCATCAATGTGTTTCATGTGGGAATAAAGGTTGAACTGGAAGAGAAACTGACAGTTCTCTGTACAGAAAACAATGCAATATAACATGTCATTTGATAAAAAATTTCCAGGGGAAATTTCCACAAATCTTCCCTAGAGAGACTTCATGCCTTTGGCAATTGTTACTGCTGGCAACCCGAAGGAAAAAAACAACAACATAGCCTACCTACCAACATCAAACAAACAATTTTCAAGTTTGGTCTTAGGGTCAGTATGACCACAAAGGGTCAAGACTGAAGAAATGGACATGGGAGGAAGAGTGGGATATCCCCCTCGATGCCACCCATGATTTGGAAAGAAAGGAACAATCAGGGGATAAATTCAAGGAATATTTGTGAAAAAATACAAGAGATACCTAATACATAAATATCATATCTACAATGACTAAAAGCAAAAAGAAAATTGGTCTTCATAGAGAGATGATATAAGGAGTAAGTGGCCAACAGTTCAAATAAGTCCTAGGTAGAAGCATGTACAACCACATTAAAATCCCTGTTGAGCCAAATAACTGGATGAGGGGATGATAAATTAGGAAGGACTGGAACAAGATAGAAAAAACATAAGACAAAAAGGACAGAGTAAAAAAGGTGAAAAGGTGGAAAAACTGAAGGAAGATAAGACACCTAAGTCAGATATTATTTATGATAGAATAATGAAGGAAACAAAGGAGCAGATTTATCGACCATAACCTTAACTTTTACTGAATCCATGTCAGGTGCTGGAATACTGGAGATTAGTCAAAGTCACACCAATTTTTAAGGTGAAAAGTAAACAATGTCCAAGTAATTATTAGCCAGTTTTTCTTCAGTAGTTGAGAATTTATAACTGAAGAAATACTAGAAGAGCATTTGAACAAGTTTTATAACAGCATAGATAGCCAGTATGAATGTAACATGGGAAGGTTATATTTTATAAGCTTACTTTCTTTGAAAGATTTACAATTAATCTAGATAATTGTAACACAGTTGATTTGGTGTACTTGATCATTCAGGAGATTTTTGATATAGTGCCACAAATGAAACTTCTTAGGAAAAATGCACCTGTTAGAGTAGGAGAAACCTATTTAGTTGAATAGTAGAAGGGAAAAGGTTGTTATTAATGGGGTAAAATCACAGTTGATTAAAGTTGCATGTGGTACATCTCAAAGGAAACTAGAGGAAACAAGCTTAAAATATGGAAAACTTAAAGATAACTCCAGTTACGACAGTGTTAATAGGGTAGTTGACCAATGAAATGGTTTGTCTATAATTGTGGTAGAAACTACATCACTGAAAGAATTTAAGAGGCATGTATTTTAGTGATAAAGGATTGGATATGAGAAAAGAAAATTATATACAGAGCTGTAAGTAGGGCAGTAGTTATAAAAGGGATTGTTTAGATTGGCCAAATATCCCATTCTTATATACCTTAGAAATAAAATCATCTCTGAGATTCATAAAATTATTCAACAAAAACTTAAAGGAATTAAAAATAGTTTCATACACATCATCATAATTATCTGGCAAATTAGTCTAAGTTAACAGCTCTAACAGGGAAAACAATTTGCCTTATACTAAGCCTGAATCTTGGCTTAGTGTTTTTTATTTATACAGATATTCTCTAATATTTAGTATTTAATTCACAACCATATCTTTTCACCAATTCAACAATTCTCCCATGAGCATTTTATCGAATTCTCTAACAGTTTTAAGTACCTGAATCAGGTCACTTCTTGTTTTTCTGCATAGAGAAAAAAGTATTTGAATCTCTTTCTCTCTTCATAGCTTAAATGTTTCAAACTAGGATAATTTGGTAGCCCATCTTTTTAATTTTCAAGTAAATCAATATCTTTCCTATAACAAGACCACAATTTTACCCACTATTCAATGAGGCCTAACCAAAGTCACTCTTCCTGAGTGAACAATTTCTGTCAATTGACCCCAGATATCTATTTGCTCTTTTAAGCATTTCTAAATATTCAGCCAAAGGCTTGAAGTATTTATCAATCATCAATCACCCAAATTCTTCTTATTATCTACAGCACCAAAAGTTTTCTCACCAAACATTTTCATACCTTAAATGCATCATTTTACATTTTTAATGCTGAAACAAATTTTTCACAGATTATACATAGCCCACTCAGCTATAGTGTCAAAGTCCTCCTACATTGGAAAAGTATTTTCCAAAAATAAGTTTTCCTATGAGTTTATAAATATTCATAAATATTACTGCTTATACATTAGTCCATTATTGACATAGATAATAAACAACAAAGTCTTAAGACAGGCTCTTGAAAGACCCCCCCCCCAATAGTCACATTTTCCAATCAAAATGGTGCTCGTGTAACACAACCTTTGTTTTCTACCTTCAATCCAATTTAACCAACCTTCTGAGATCTTCATTAATTCTGTAAGATTCTAACTAACTGATCAAAAATCCTTTGGAAGTCTCAATAAACAACATCAACAAGGATTACTTCATCCAGACAAAGAAAAGTCAAATAATAAAAACTTCAACAAATCAATAAAAGAAAATCCTTTTTAAAGTTAAACTACAAATTTGTAATCAAATTATAAACTTCAAGGTGCTTTTCCAAATGATCCCTGACAATAGATTCCAATAGCTTACCAAAAACAAATGTTAGAGCAATGACTTGGAACTTCCTGTAACTTCCCTAGACCTCAACATTTTTAAACATTGGCTAACTTCCAATCATCAAAAATTTCTCATGTGTTTAAAAACTATTGAAAGTTTCAGTTAAAACCAATTCATTACTTAGCATATTCAATCACTGGTTACACTGCATTTTTAATATTGTGTACAGTTTTGGTCTCCTTATCTAAGAAAAGATAATTATTGGAAATGACTTAGAAAGCTACCAAGATAATTCTGGAGATGGGGGTTATCTTACAGGGATAGCTTAAGGTCTCAATTTATTTTCTCTCGAGAAAGGAATGGCAAAAGGTGATCTTAATGATGTTTATATTATCCAAGGGATTGATAGAGGCCTCTTATTCCTTTATGCTGAATTCTGAAGATAACAGGATTAAGGACACAAGCATAAGATTTGGAAAAGACAGACTCTTCTCCAGTTAAGACAGTTTTACTTTTTAATGGAATGACTGTCTAATGGAATGAAATGTTTTCAGAATCAATGCACTCATTTCCTATGTAAAAAATAGAAAACCACCCAGTAGTAATTGTGATATTAACTGCAACATTAATGACATTTTTATTTATGCATTTTCTTGAATGTGACTCTCAGTCTTATGTTATTAGAGATATTGTAACCAACAAATTCATTGGACCCATGAGCAATCTGGTGTAAAAATAGTTTAAAAAAATCAAATATTTTCTAAAGCTTCTTTACTTTTCAGTAATGCAAGAATAAAAACCATAAATTTATGTTACAAACTCAGAACTTTTCATAATCCCTATTGTAGCCTCAACCACTTATAAAGTTTTCCTAGACTGTTGTTTTTGTTGAAGTATTCTACCAGAACTTCTATGCTATTAGTGTTAGTGATTTTCATAATTCAAGTACTTAAAATACTTTCCGTTATCATATAATTTTTTAATTAACAAAGTCTAAGTGTTTCTGTTCAATTTTTTAGTGTTTGGCCTCCAGTTTGAATGTAAAAAAGAATATGAGCAAATCTGGTATAACATTAATAATAGCAGGTCTAGTATTACAGATCTATTACTCAGTAATACTATTATTATTAACTTGTTACTTTTAATGTTATAACTTCTAAGTTCTACTACTACTACAACACTACAGTACTAGATAGTTTTCAATCACTCTCACTTTTTAAACCAGTTCCCAAGCATATTCTTTAATCTAACTAGTTAATTTTTAAACGTTAATCTTTCTAAAATCAAAAACATAACTTGCACTTAGCTACATACTCTACATCTGGTTTAAATTATTTTAGTCATAGCTTACCCCTCCACGTCTCATAACATCAATTAACATCACTGCCTCCAATTCTCCAGCACCATCAGCCAAAATCACAAGAGCAGACTTCGAGTTTGTCATATTGTTGCTATGTTTTCTACTTGAATAGAATAATATCGATAATTACAATAACAAATACGGCCTATATTTAAAATTTATGCAATATTGATGGTTGTTATGAACGCTCTATGTTGCAACCCAAGCTTTTATAATATAATATTGAGGTATTATAATACTGTCCTCTCGATGGTACCACTGGTATTGTGTACTTCATAGTTATAACCAAGCCAAACACATGTGGTGCAGCCATGTGCGATTGTTTCTATTCGCAAGCACAAACAAATATTCAAATTATAATATTTTTCCTATTTTATGTAATGATAAAATTCATGTCCTCTAAAAAAATGATGCCAAACATTATTGATAATAAAAATTTTTCGATATGACATTAGCAGGAAATAATAAAATTCTTAAAATGACCACTTCGAAATATTACTAGCATTGATATTGTTACGACAGCAGAAGTCACGTGACGCTGATAACACGTGATGAGTTTCTAGAAGGATCATGAAGGCTCGAGTGTTTGCCAGGCGCCCTCTATTTTTGTATATATAAGACGGCAGAGATAATTGCAGACAGAGAGATATAGAGACAGCCTAGCCGTAACTAAAGTGCGTGAATCGTTGTGAATTCTAGCGTATGTTTAAGTTAAAGTGACTGTGGAAATTAAGTGAATTGCAAAGTTGTATTGAGAAAGAATAAACTAGTTTTATTTAAGAAAGGACTTGTATTGCTGAAGTTTTTTGGAAAGAATTTTTATGGAAAATTAACAAACACCAAATTCGATGATGAGGAACCCACTTTGAGACTAATAATGGCTGGAAACGCCTTGAATGGGTAATGAAGAAAAACTTTAATATAAGTTTAACATAACAGCAAATGTACAACGTTTCGACAAGGTTTTGTCATCATCATGTACCTGAGACGTAACAATATACATTTAACTACTTTTAGGTTGTTTTTGTTGTATTACTAGTACAGATATGCCCACCATCATGTGGTTCAGCAGCAAGTCTGAAGGTTTATAACGCTAAAAACCGGATTTCTATATTAGTTGTAATTACTAGCACAGATAGTCCATTGTGTAGCTTTGTGCTTAAAAACAAAACAGGTGTGATATATTCGATGACGAGGAACCCACTTTGAGACTAATAATGGTTGGAGACGGCTTGAATGG